CTCAATTATGTGATTTACTGCACAATATCGTATTAGCCTATTTTATCTCTTGATTTCCGGCTTCGAAGGAACTACAGCAAGTGCATCTATTGTTGTAATATGTCTAACATATGATGACCAACTGCGAGGCTCGTAAGTAGAAGTTCCATTTCAAAAACGACCGAGTTTCTAGATTTTGGCTTCGGACTTTGTCTGATTAGGGTTTATGCGGATTTTAAGCATGTCCTGCTCTATCGAATTGTACCTACTCAATTCTCTAGGTGTTTCACTTTACCCTGTGGCGCATGTGCAGCGTCTATATTTTCTTGACAACCTGCAGCAGCAGCCCCATATACTGGAAAAACAGGGAAGAAAGGGGGCAGTTCCCGCAAGAAATTTGTCATGCGTAAAGACGACAATTTTTTTACAAAGGAAAATAAGCCTTCGTAAAGATTTTTTGAAGGGTGCAATAAGACCATTTTGATTGCCAACTAAAAACCCGGAGCAGTACCCCCTAGTATAGACCTTCCAGAGATCCCATGACGCACTATCCGGGAGCAGACTTGCTTTTCTTGCCCGCGAGTGATACACAAGGTGCATCCCTTAGAGTTGTTCCCATGGGTAACATTGACGTGGCTGCCTTTCAGTCGTTTCAATAAGTTAATCCAGCACCATTAAGAAGCTTATTCGAACCTGACATCTTAAAACGATCAAAAGGCAGCCATGTCGATGGTACCAATTGAGAACAATTTTGGGAAATGCGCGATAGGCATACAAGAAGGGACATTAAATATGCCGACAATTTCTAAGAACCTGTCGTTGGCATGTATCAAAAACTCAGTGTGCGGAACGATCCAATGGCAAATAAAAGCATAACTTTATCAAGATTATGCAATCTTTCAAACTCACTACTTTCCACAACAACAGCATCCACCACCACCTCCAGCCGCCGGTGGAGCTGCAGGCATGGCCATACCACCACCACCAAGACCAGGAAGGCCACCTCCGCCCATCATGCCAAAGCAGGCTTCTGATTGCGCAAAGAAAAGAAATACGCAGATAAACAGAATAACCTAGACGGCAATGTCCAAGAATGTGATAGAAACTTCGCAGGAACTTACGAATGATTTTATTTGAGCCATTAGTAATGGGGCGAAATATGAGAAGGTCTCAAAGATAAACAGTCACGGTCTCTTTATATATGCTCAGTGCTAGGGCGGTAAATTATCCATCTTTCCAAAACAAGTCAATTGCCATATGGTTACATTTCGGTCGTGCTTAGTATCAAAAAGCTATCGCTGTAATGTTGCGTTAAAGAACAAAATTTCTTCAATTAGAAGTACGACATCTTCACCAAGGCTAACCAGTGGAACAGCACATCTTATCAATGGAAAGTTTACATGACGATAGCGAAAAAAGCCGATGCTCGGGAGCAAATCAGCAGATTACTAAAGCCACTTATACAGCGTTAGAGTGCACAAAAGGAAAATTTGATTAGCGCTATATAAGGGAAGTTTTTAGAACACGGAGTGAACAAGTGTATATATATGACTAAATGCTCATTGGTCTCTCAAGTTCCTCTTCGTGTGTGGAACTTTGAACTTATCTACGTGGAGAGATGCAGCTCTCACCAGAGATGACTTTACATAGATGCCCGTGCTTTTTTGATCACATTGTCGACTAGCCCAACTTATCTATGTCCAACGTCATCACTGTTGTCAGGAAACGTGATTCTTTCGAGAAACATCTGGGAATAAATAATGCATTTATTCCTCGATCCTGTCCCAGATCCACGCTTTCTGTGACAATTGCACCGCTATTCTGTCTCTCATGTGCACAATGAGGTCTGCCCTAGCAATTGAACTGACCGTAATAATCAAGCTGCTGCCGCGTTATCCGTGGCCGTATTTATCAACGAACCCAGTGGGTTCCACTATCCAGTGGGTAGACTTAACCCACGAGATAGGCAATCACGAAGCTAGTGGATTCATGAAGACAGCAGTGCTTTTTGTGAACATCGATCCAACCCAATGGCACCGTTTCCGCTTACCCGCTGGTTGCGGAACCCACTGAAGTTGATGAATGTGGCCATTAAATGTAGTGCATAGACGTAGTGGCTCGCAGACCATTGCCCCGGTTGGTCTGTCTTCGACTTGGATGGTCGCATATGTGTTTGATAATAGCAGATTGTTCCTCACCCTGAGGCGCCCACACCCGCCCCCACCCCACTTTTTGTTGATCTACCGTTGCAGGAGCTAACGGCATGATTTGATGTTGCGCGACACTTCACTCCCCCCTCTGCTTCCTTTTTGGACCCTCAGATGGATCCCACTCATGCAGGGTCTGCTCTCCGTGTCACGTGCATTCAAGTGTTCTTATCTAAAGAGAGGTGTACATTCATGTACTGTATTCATGTACTCCTAGCGCTCACAGGTCGGTCTTGATTTTGTCCATCCACATCATCTTCATTCTACCCCTGGATTTCCCACCCGATGCCTCTACCTTCAACGCTAACCTGATGTGGTTTTTCTCCTTTTGCTCCTAATTGACCTCTTAGGTATTTGCATTACGCTGTCTTCTTCGCTTCGCCATCAACACTAGAGCTCTTGAAATTTGTTTCCCATTTCCACACATTCTGCCTTCTTGATGTTGTGTTTCAACCCATATACAGCCTGTTTCTCCAGCTTTGCATCTCACAGGGAATCGGTGCGGACAAGTGGCCTTTCCAACGAAACACATATACGTTTGCAGGTCCGTCGAGAATGAGTCAGAAGAAGGCCATGGGTAATACGTAATGTTGTATTTTTGCAACAGTTATTGTTTCTGATGATGCTAGGACGATCAGTGTACCACTAAAAGCAAAAGGAACAAATGCAAAAATGATGCCGAAAAAATGACTCGAACCTAGACCTCAAAGATTAGGAGTCCACCACTTGCCACTGCGTGCTAAGGACGGCCGCGCATACTTGTGTTGAAATCGTGATCTCACAACGCTCATATCTTGCCATACAGTACCGCTTGGCAGATACGGATCGCTGCTTTGTAAGTTGTGTGCCAGGACCTGCAAACGTATATGCGTATCGTTGGAAAAGGCCACTTCGAGTCCGCATGGTTCCCTTGTCAGTTAACAGCCAGCTTTCAAAAATCCCTTGAGGCATCACTCATAAAAGCGTGGACGAGCGCTCCGGTGCCAATCCCATCCAATGCGACAGGAAGTCCGCCGCATATAACTGTGTTCCTTCGTATACAACAAGGACACAGTTACACATCATGCGTCTCGACAATCCTTGGCTCGTCAAAAGCATCGAGGGGAATCGCTGGATCGGAGGAAGGAGGATACGCGCATTGTTCTCGTTTCAGAACTGACATATAGTTGCACATGAGCGATTGCTTAGCCTGAGGACCTGAGAACCTATGCCAACCGCTGAAACCCCGTCATTCCCAAGTCTACCCATACGTCGCCTCCGAGGAAGCGTCCAGGCAGATATGGTTGATTAGATACTGATACGTCCCAACAGGTCTTGTTCATTTGATGCAAGTGAACACTCCTCTCAGAATGATTTGTAGTCATAGATGGGCCGGAAGCGGCTCTCCTATAGTCGTCCTCACCCCACTAGTAGGTCGGTGGACGAATTCGAATTCGAACTGGAGCAGGGAGGTCGCGGCAGAGCACGGCACCTTAGCTCTCCGTTTAAATTCACGCATTCACTTTGCGTATTTCTTCGCCATTGCTTAGCAGTTTTTGCATTGTTACAACGTTTATGATCTATATTGAGTTTTTGTAATTGCTGAGCGTTGTCTCCTGCCGCGCTCTGCCGTGACAGGCCTGGTCCAATTCAAGTTTGAATTCGTCCACCGACCGACTAGTGGGGTGAGGGCGACTATACAGTTTCTGCTCTTTTCACACCTGCGCGGACAAGCTTGCAGGCGACGCCACATGCTTTCAAGTGACAACTGCAATTTGTGTATCCTGTTACGGGAGCTGCACAGGATCGGTGCCGAAACACCAGTCCGCGATTATCAAATTAGGGTTCTCAAATCGGCAGTTTTCGGTATTCTCACGCACATTGCACCTTAGATTCGAAATAGCTTGAAGACTAGAATGAAAAACATGGAACACAAAAAAGTATCGTTGTACTGTTGGTAAGATACGGAAGCTACGAGATGCAACATCATAGATTCGACCTTCGCAAGCCGAGCTGCATGACCAGAATCCTCTTCCATAGAAATTTGTTTGCCAATGTTCTTCGAACTACCATCAAGAAAAAAAGCAGGAAATGCTTAAAAAGCTTGTTAACTTGAGCTGGAGGGAAATTTCCAACTGCGAACAGATGATGCTGCTTTTGCGAAAAAATGTTGATTTATTTTCTCAACAGCACGATGGCAACAGCAGAGTGTTTTCCTTGCTGGAAAAAAGAGGGAGAAAGGGAGAAAAAGCACAAACTCTTATCTAGTCAAGCGGATGACGGCTTCTAAACATAAACGAGTCTTTGAAAGTTTCTAAACTCATATACGTGTAGCCGATGTTTCTTGGAACAAAAAAGCAGTAGCCACTCTCCCTACATCTACCGAGCTGATTTTTTCAGAGTCATCTTGCATAGTTTCACACATACAGACCTCTGCCAAACCTTCCTCCTAACTCATGCTTCTGCAATCGATGCATAAATACAGCCAAAAGCATTTGAACAAAGTAGGGCACAGTCAGCACAGACATTTTTATGGAGTGGGTTCCTTGCGCGAGCACGAGAAAATCCGGCAAACGTAAAAACTTGATATAAGTCGACGTTACAATTTCAGAACTACGTTCGGCGTTCTTTCCATAGGTACCACTGTTTCGCATGCCTCTCGCGCCTTTGCGCCGTCTTTGGCGCGTCTTTTTCATGCATTCACATTTTTTGTGCCAGCGCACCAAAGGCAGCAAATGAGTAGGTTGCGTCGATGCCTACGGAAAGATTCTCAGTACTCAGACTGTAGCACGTAACAGCATTGCTCGAGAATTGCTTTGCAATTTTCTGAACTTACTACTTTCCACATGGACATCCACCCGAAGGTGGAGAAGGAGCGGGTTGGGGTGCAGGAGCACCACAACCCAGACCGCCAAGACCGCCAAGACCAGGAAGGCCCATACCGCCTCCCCCTAGCCCACCGACGCAAGCTTCCGATTGCGCAATGAAGAGGAATACGCAGATGAACAGAATAATCTGGACGGAAAGTTACAAATGAGGGATAAAGGGTTATGCAATCACTTACGAATAACTTGGCTTGACCCATTAGCAGTAGGACGGATGAAAATGTCAGAGACAAACCGTCACGGTCTCTTATAAGTGCTCAGCGCTTGGGTTTCAAATTCATGCTTCATATCGCTGTAATGTCGCGACAAGCGAAAGAACTTCGGGATTTTTTCAACAGTTGCGAAAAGGAAGTCATCGTCAAGGCTGTCCACATTGAAATAGTATCCGATATCAGTGACAACAAAAGTGCGCTTTTTTCTGCAGTTTTTAAACTTTTTGCTTCTCACAGTAAAGGAGAACCGTGGCCAGAAGTTATGACGCGGTGGACGAAGAAGGGAACAACTGGTAAAGTCACTATGGACACTCAAAATATGCTCTATCATAAACTTATTCGAATCACTAGCAAATACTGATAAATCTTCGAGCTATGAACATACTATGTCATTCCGAAAGTTCGTTTGTAACTTCAACACTTAACTTTGATTTTCCTAACCGATTTGATTGCTTTTATTCTTGTTTGGAAGAGAAAGGCAAGTTCTTTAACGCATCTCAGCGCATTATTAATGCTCATACATTGCATATATAGGAGAGGTAAAACAAAATTTCTCAGATTCTGAGTTTTCTGCATATGGCCATGAAAAATCTGGAATTTGTAGTAAAACGGAACAGTCGGTAATACAGGTTTTGTTGCCTGCCCTTTCTGAGTGACAAAGTTTGTGCTAATTGAACGTCTCCATTTGAAGTCATGATTTTTAGCAAGCTACTATACAACAAATTTGATTTTTTGGCATTTTTTCAAACATCCTAATTTTCATGGAGACGATTAGCGCAAACTTTGTTCAGTTAAATTTGACAAAAACATATACAATAGTACCGAGCGCTCTGTTTTTTAATGCAGGTTACAAATTTTGCACGGGCTTACGCAAAAAACTTAAAATTTGAGCAATTTTCTTCTAGCGCTTCTATGTGTGAATTAAATCAGTTGGGAAAATCAGAAGTTATGCATTCTAATGGTGCGAGCGAAATTTCGGTACACCAATACAATATACAGGGTGTCCGTAAAGTATGTATAAACTGTTTGATCGTTAATAATTTTCTTGCCAACAAGTATTTTGCCTCCAAGGCGCATTTTGTAGAGCTGGCTAGATTCAGAGTATGGAGCGAATCATCTATCGCTTCTCATTACTGTAGGATTACGGTATGAACTTTCAGCATATGGAACCAATGTGAAACATACCACCTAACAAAATTTTCTTCAAAAAATCTGAAAAATCGTATACTAGGGTTTTCGCGCATCTTTCCACCTAACAACTTTTTACAAGTGTTCTTGGCTTTTTTGACGGTGTAATTACATTTCTGACAAATACTGAGAATTGAGTTACTACGGTTTACCGGGGATAACTTAGGAAAGAAGCACACAGTAAAATGGGAATTTCAAATTCGAAATCAGCGGCTCCCATTACCATAGTATAAGAGTTTTTGGCTTGTTTGGTCTTGTTCCAAGGCAGAATATAGCCTTAAATGCCTAAAATCTTTGCAGGCTCCTACCGTAATCCTAAGTATCGCTCCATACTGTAGATCTAACATAAATTGAAGTCAGCTCTACAAAACGATACCTGAAGCAAGGCAAAAGACTTGTCGGGAAAAAAGATATTAACGATCAAACAGTGTATACATACTTTACGGACACCCTGTATAGCCGTATAATTGCATGCACATTAAAACAGAAGAATGGTTCAAGTTTAGCATGTGGAATTGAAGCTATCTTTCTCTTTCGCCTTTTTTTTCACTCTCCACTCTCTACCGCAATGGCCCTTAGTCTCAGTTTACTTGCATCCGAACTCTAATTGTCAGAAGATAGACAAATGAACAAATAAATAGAGATCAAAAGTAAATAAGCCTATACCACACCATCACTCCAGATAAAATAACATTTATCCGGAGGGATGGTGTGCTCTATCGTTTTCTAGTGCATAAATACGCAACGTAAAATATTCCACAACCGCAAACGATATGTCGATTCCTAACTATTTACATGAATATGAGGCGGAAATGGGTGATACCAAACTTATCAATCTTTGAAAATAACATCGAGAATCAAAACTTACTACTTCCCGCAAGCCGAGCAAGCCGCGCAAGCCGCACAGGGGTTTGCACCAGTGCCACCCGCACCCATACCCATACCGCCCAATAAGCTGCCCAGATTCAGACCACCACCGCTACCACCACCTCCAAAGCCACCGAAGCAGGCCTCTGACTGTACAATCAGGAGAAGAAGCAAGCAGATAAGGAGATACACCTGGAGATTAACATTGAGAATCAAGAATCGTTCACGAGATAACCCACAGGTGACTTAGTCCAAGAAAGCATCGGCAGTAAACGAGGTAAAGTACTAATTTCCAGACATAGGTCTACCGTCCCTCAAATCGAAACTATATAGCAGCCATTATCTTTTTTGAACAAATTCTATGCTAATGTGACCAGACCTCAATCAAGTTTGGTACGTAAGCTGCTGTCTAATATTTGGCTTCAGAAAAGCACTTAATGTTTTTTGGGTCTTGAAGCCTTCCGCTGATGTTTAAGGTCACACCCATTCACCGCTGCATTACCCCAGGAAACCACCCGGAAAAGCGCTGGTGCTAGAAATTATGGGTGAGAGGTCTCAGTTTATCAAGGCGAAAAATTGTTTAGGCGAAAAATTCCACTTGTTCTCCGCAAATGTGCTTGCCAAAAATTTGTTGTTCTCGTTGTCAGCCTTTGAGATACAACCCGATAAATTACAACCCAAATAAATTTAGTCAGGAAGCCGCGCCGACAAAAAAGGAAACTAGACAATTATGGCGGGCACCCGCCGATCACCCACGGCGACGCCATGTTCAACCGAGAGCCAAATAAGATAAGCGTCCACCTTATCCGCAGATGAGCGTCAAGCACCCGAGCAACCGCGGATGTCCCAACAAACACCCGACGACTGCCATCTGCGGGTGGCCCAATACGCAGTTGAACCCAAAAACTTTACTATTCCTTTTTGATTTTTCGATACCTCTATCTCAACTTCGAATAAAGCTTACGATCCATATAAAAAGGAACTCTTTTCCTTTCCATCGTAAAGTCTAGCCCACTTTTGTGAGGTTCCCAACAAAAACTATTATGATTCCATTCCAAATAACTCCAATAGTAGTCATCCGAAACACTACTGAAAATAGGAAGGCGACCTCCTAATCACGGCCGAGGAAGATGATTAACCCATTGACAACGATGTGGTCCACGGTGGCCCACGCACTCTTTGCGGCCAGGGACGATGTGGATCACCGGTGGCTTACATCTCTGGGAAGGTCATATCATTTGTAGACCTTAGATTTTTCCCATACATTGATATTTTTTCCAAATTTTTTCACTTTCGGGCACTGTAGGCTTCGTCATTTAAGAAGATGCTTATAGTTGTCTACGAAACGAAAAACCTCACAATTCGAAAATAACCACAAAATCTTCCTTCGCTGGAAGTGTTGTGCAAAATCGCGTCGTCTCCCAGCGCCGCCACGCAAAATTAGGCGTCGTCGTCAATGAGTTAATGACCTAAACTTTGGGCTCCATCACCGCAGCGTATCTCATGCGAATAAGCTTTCCACTCACAGCGGTAAGATGGCGTCCAGCAAGGCCCGAGGTTCACCAAAGTGATTCCTTTAGGCCGTGGCGCGTTGGAGCCTGTCCGACAATGATGTGCCTGATCCTACTAAGGCCCGCGGCTCTATAGAAATAGGATCGGCAGTATACGACAAGGGTAAGCGCCTGACTAGTGCAAACACACTATTAAAATCCGTAAATAGCCTGAAAACTAGATAGACAGTATGTCCACTGAAGCCCGTGGCTCGCCCGGTGTTTTCTCTTAGCTGGTGGCCCTTTCCGATACAGTGCTCGCGGTTTTTTCGTCGCAATAACATCAAGCTGCGGGTCACCAAGCAAATGAAGTTCTGCGGATGAAAAATCTGAGAACTCAAGGTCCGCGCACTGCCAAAAGACACCATTACGGGAGGGAATGCTCATTAAGCGGGTGCTCGCGTGAGTGTCTGAGCATCTGCCGTTACCTGGCAAAAAACCTGATCAAGTTCAGTATTGCAATCAACATGATGAACAATTCTACACGCCCTCTCTCGCCAAAAACACTTTGTTGCTTTGAAGAATTTTAATGGGAATAAGCAGGTAAGCGATCTTCATGCTTACTATAGCAGCGCCAAGCCTTGGGGGCCGGCTCCATACCTGGTGGGGGGAGGAGGGGGAGGGGAGAGGTGATGAGGGAAAAAGAGGTCGTAAACGATGGGGACCGAAACAAATGTAATACCTCCTTTTTTGGCTTTGCTACAGAGAAGCACCAAAATTGAATGCTTCAGAAAAAACCAGCGAATCTGCGCAAGTGACGAAGCTGCGCTGCTTCATACAGCAACTTTGGAATACACGTACTTCCGCAATGCAGCCAGCTGCTTCTGGCAATTTTGTTCAGAAAATATCAAGCGTTGCTTGGAAAATACTTCACAGCCAGCGCAAGGGCGTATATACACTAAGAGATATCTACTGTTCTTTGTCTAATGTTTTGCAACAAATTTTTGCATTACTTCCTACTGCCCTCAACGAAGCTTGATGTAAACGGATGCCATGCGTGCCGTTAATTAATTTTTTACTATCGCTGATGCTTTCTATCCACAATTCGCTCGCGAACCAGCCAATCCGTAACTCCTCAGTACTCAAACGCTAACAAGAAGAACTAATTTTTGAGGAAGCTTGCTATGCTGTCAAGCGCTATCAGGTACAATAGATATAAAGATCGAGGAGAGAAGAGAACAGGAACAAGGACTGTGGGCTACTATAAGTAGCCCTCGCTTGCCAAAGTGCCAGCGGAAGAGGTCCGAATACAGTAGCGCGACCGACACAGTGTCAGTCAACGTTCTCGACAATTCCGAAGCGTCGCATTAAAAGAGCAGTAAGAACTGGATGAACTTTACACTCCTTCCGATTCACATTAGCCTCGGGATTTTTCACTGCCTA